GGCCTCTTCCTTAAACTTTTGATGCTGGTTACCAAATCTTCTTTAAGGATGTTTGCCTTTTCTCAGGATATCCCTGTTCCCCATGATAGGCTTTTCTCTCATCTTCATCTGGCTTACTCCTACATATCCTTCAATGCTCAATTGTGCTTCCTTGTGAATTCTTTCATCCTCAATGAGAATACAGTTCTCAGCAGTGGATGTGCTATCCCAGGGACCTTTATGAAATACTGTGTCTTTGTTTATTTCTGTCATTAGATATATGCTCCTCAAAGGTGGGCAGTAGTTCTAATGTATCAGCGGTCCTTACTATTATTCTTGGCATGCAGTAAATAACGAAGGTTTATTGAATATATTGACTGTTTATTAAACCAAGTAGTATAAATGAAGTACAGGAAGTTTAAGAAGGTGTCATGGAAGAGACTAATTCCAAATGAAGATGAAAAAGGCTCTGTGTAAAATCATTATTGAGTTGCATCTTGAAAGATGTCTATAATCAGAAAAGTAGGAGGCAATAGGGAAGAAAGGAGATTTTTATACGAGCAAGATTCCTGAATTGTTTTTATTTTTTTAAATTTTATTTATTTATTTTTTTGGAGAGGTTTTCACTATAGGGCATGTGTGCTCGCCAGACAGACAGAGAGAGACATAGAGACAGAAAGCGAGAAATCACCCCCCAGGGGGGATGGTCACGCCGCAATCCCTTCTCCTCCATTCTCCTCTTGGGATCTTGGGCACGCACGCACACGCACCCGGCGTGAGTTTTAAGCCACCAGGTCCAGGATGCGAACCGCGGTCGACTACGTGGGATTCCAGCGACATAGCCATTACGCTAACTGCTGGTTCCCAAGATTGCTGAGTTGTGATTGTGTTGCCCAGAATAAAAAGGACCCATGCAGATATCTCATTAATATTTGATAAGTAAATATGGGAGCAGATCATTGGAGGCCTTGAATGCATGATCAAGAGTGCATTCTTAATTTCATCAGCAATGTGGATAGAGTGAAGGGTTTTGGAGAACGGGAGGAGCATAACTAGACCTCAAGTTTCTCTGCTAGAGAATAAACACCTTGAGTTGGGGATTTTTTTATTTCTTTTTTTCTTTGAAATCACCCCCCAGGGGGAATGGCCACACGGCAATCCCTTTTCCTCCACTCTCTTCTTGGGATCTTGGGCACGCATGCACATGCGCCCGGCTTGAGTTTAAGCTGCCAGGTCCAGAACTCGAACTGCGGTCAACTACATGGGAGTCCAGCGACATAGCCATTATGCTACCTGCTGGTCTTGGGGATTTTTTATTTCTTGCTCACTATGTTATTCTCATCTAATTGGAAGGTGACTTGCATAAAAGTCAGAACTCGTTGTATATTGGAATACATAAATAAAGATGTGTTTTAGGGAAACATTGTCCTGTAGATCTTCATGTAATAATGGAAATGTGCTAAATCTGTGGGGTACAATAAGTAGCTACTAGACATATGTAGCTACCAGGCATTTTAAATTGAGGAACTGAGGAATCAAATTTTTAATGTCATTTAATTTTAACTAATTTACATTTCAATTTAAATAGCTGCATACAACTACTGACTCCTGTTTTGGACAGCAGAATGTTAGGATTTTTTTCTTTCCAGCAGGGTCCTGACAAGAAACAGATGGAACACTGAGATTAGGATAACTCAAGGAGAATTTATTTATAAAGAAACTTTTACCAAATGTGTGGGCAGCTTAAGGGAACCATAAAAGAGAGTGCAATTAACTGTGTTTAATTATGTGGGAGCGATGGTGAGGCAAAATTGATGGCAATACTCTTAGTTAAGATTATACGAATATAACCATGGACCACATTGGGGCAGTGTTTATAATATGCAATAATGATGCACAATTAATGAAATTTTATTGAATTAACTCTGTGCTTAGTACTGTTCTTGTCAATGAAGTCTTTCCTGGCTGTTTATTTACTGATGAAGAATGTGACTGCTTCCCTATCCTCCGCTGATCTGTGCCATCCTTTCTCAGTGTCTTTTCTGACACTCTACTATACATGGCCCCTTTTCCATTAGCAGGGCTGCGCTGACTTAATGATGGCTCCTGTCAAGGATTCCTTTAAGGAACAGCCTCTCTTCTGAGCACTTAGGTTTTAGGCAGGTTCTGAATGTTATCTGTGGTCGTGTTTTAATATCTTACTCTTTCTATTCCTTACCTCAGCACTCAAAATTCTCCTTTAGTCCCAGTTCATTGTTTGATGATTTAAGGCTCTGAAAACAGAAGGAATGAAGGCTTTTAAGCAGGATGAGGCTATTTCTTCTTGCTGTATTTATTTTTATGCCATGCAAAAAGAATAAAGAGGCATTAATGGCTTGATGGAAGCCAAATAAATCTGGATAAATAGAGCAAGGGTCCAATAAAAGACTGGAGGTGAAAAAGGAGAAAGGTGGTGGTGGTTGGGGGATGGCTGATGGAGAGGGAGAAAATAAAGGAAAAAGGGAAAATTTTATACTTCCTGTAATGATAAGGACTGTTTATTATTATTTACAGAACAAAATGTCTTTGACCCAATGAAACATTTTAAACTAAGTTTAAGCTCTGGGTAGAAATTTGGAAATCATCTTTATAATCCTTATTAAATCTCTTCATGCTGTCATCTCCTGTCATCCTTTATTAAAGTTTTGTGTGCCTCTGTTGCTAGCTCTGGGAAGGCTGACATGTTTTAGTTGTTCCGATGAATCACACCACAGAAGCTAGTGAGTTTTTATAGCCAGCACCACAGGAGTCTCCCATGTTATTCCTGATACCCACAGTGTATGTGTATGGGGGTGGAGTTACCAGGAGCTAGGTTTCTGGTGCGTTCCATTTCCTCCCCTTTGTGACTGTCTCTGCTTTCATGAAGTAGAAAGATAAATAACCAAGCACTAATACTGCATGAAGTTGGAGAATAAGGGCTAGGTTATGTGGGTAAAATTAGAAATGTTTTTATAGCCCCTTGTATATCTGTTTATGGCATTGTCCTATAGAGGCCTGAATAAACTCTCCACAAGTCTTTGCTACTAGCGTGGAGAATGCTGAGTAAGAGATTTAAAGGTAGCCACAGCTTTCATGTGGGTTTCTGCTACCTTTTCTCTGGTATCCAAAATTTAAGTTGTAGTCATTGAAATGACCTAACCTCAATTTCTCCTATCTCTGTCCCCCTTTTTACTCTCTTCTTTCACTAGGGTTAGTGGTTTTCTTCAGTCTCCCCCTAAGAGGCAGTTGGAAATGTTTGGTGCCAAGTTTTGGCTGACATAGTACCTAGGAGTTGGTATTGAAATATATTGGTTTTTGGTTTACGGATGCTGAACAGTTTGTAGTATAGGATGGTCTCAAATGATGGTCATTTTTCACACTATAGATATCACTAGCATCCCTGCTGAGGAAAAGCCAGGTCTAATTGACCTGGTGATTACAGCTTCCTCAACTGACAGAGGATTTTTACCATGCCTTCAGGGCAAAATGCTAAAATTTATTCCACATTTTAGTATGACACTTTCCTGGCATATAGTAGGCTCCTAATAAAACTATGCTATGTTTTGAATCAAGTTGTTTATTTATAAATGAGTCAATTCTGTTCAATAAGTCCTATGTAAGTTGTTGAACATTTTCAAAATCAAGATATGCTTACCAATATCAAGATTCTACCAGTATTATTAAGGTGATGAACATGCACAGAAATAAAATGAGCATAATCAGGAAATCTTGAAAATACTTTTGGAATGAGGAAAGTTCAGGGTTTAGTTTTTAGCAGGATCACTGGGGGAATTATTTGTGGAAACTACTGAGAAACAAGTAGGATTTTTACAGGTGTTATTGGGGTGTTGCTCTTGAAGTCATATGAATATTTGAATTTGGGGGGAAGGCATAGAAAAGCATAGAAATGCACTATTGTAAAGAGCAGTACTTTAGAAGATATGGTGGGAGATAAGTCTTAAAAAGTATGTAAGAACAAATACAGATCATCTTGAATTTCTTTCAACTTGGAGTTATTGGTTTTGTAAGAGTTTGGATATTGGGGATAGTGCCTGATGTGCTTCCCGATAGTTTATACTTCGCCTGTGTCCTTTATCATGGAATCCATGTTGTAAACTCCCTAAACTGTCAGCTCCTTAAACTTGCCTTCCAGATATTCAAGGTCTCCTCTCAAGAGCCCTTTTCAGTTTATTAATTTAAATAGCAGCAATTTTCCTAAAGCTGAATCAGATCATGATTTTTTCCAATCTCTTTTATACAAGCTATATCACTGAAAAAAGTATGATTAGATGCAATCCAGTTGTCTCCTACAAAAATAAGATGTAGAAAATACCAACCAAGGTGACTTTCTATGTGCTTAATAGCCTACAGATTTAGGTTAAGGATATAACAGAGAGAACTGTCTGCTCAGAGAATGAAAAGGTGTTGCACATATTATTTTAAAGAGCCAAAAACAGCGTCCAGTTCTTACTTGAAACAAATTGTTCTTGGAATATTGTCAGCTAAAATTGTGGTCAACTTTTGCAAATTGTATGAATTTGCACTGCATATTTTATTTAGTGTTTAGAAAAACTCCAATATGGCTCTGCATAACTTACACAATACACCATGAAAATGACTTCAGCAACTCCCACAGAAGTTGACAAATTGGGCATCTAATGCTTTTAAGCTAATTGCATGCTTAGCGGTTAAGAAGTTGACTTGTTAAGAATGAATATCAGAGTTTCATGGAGATAATGCTCTGTCTTCTGCCACATTGAATACAACACCACGCTCTATCAGAAATATTACAGGGATTTAAAGAGGAAAATGATGTGAGCTTTAATCACCATTCTACTTAGTCTTAAGTGAAATGCTTATGAATCATATGCAATATCATAGTGGTTTTGAAATCTCTTCTTGAATTTTCAAGCTGTTATTTTCAGGAAATTTAGAAAGCAAATTGCTAAATGATAAATAGTGAGTTTATACCATTGCTTAATTCATTTTTTTCTTCCTTGCAGGCTGGAAAAAAAGAAAGGAGTAATACCCTGAATATTGCAATAGACAACATGTGCAAGAAGACAAGAGATCTTCGCAGACAGGTGAGGGAAGAAGGAGACAAAGAGATAGGAACACACATACAAACTAAAACTTTTATTCATTGCTGCAATATGTATTTATAGTTTTTGTTCTTTTAAAATGAATTTAGAACAGAAAACAAGAAGAATAAATATATGCCTTTCACATTTGTAGGATTCAAACAGTTTTGTGGCAAAAAATAAAATGGAAGAGATTGTGTGCCTTAGTGTCAGGCAGAATTACATTCATAACCTGGCTTTTTCCTTATGAGTTGTGGAATCTTGGGCACATAATTCATCTCTCTGATCTTCTGGAATTACATTATGGAATTAATAATCAACAATAGGCATATGAGGATGGAATACAATGCATATCGTGCCTGGTTCATAGTAAGTCTTCAGAGAATTCTGGTAAATTGATTCCGGTACATTAAAAACTGAATATAATTCAAGTTATTAGCAGCAGCTAGTAATTCAGAGACTCTACCAATTCCCCCCTTCCCATTATTTTCAGGATGCTTCAAAAATTTAGTTCTTTTTTAAAATAGGCTACTTTTAAACTTTAGGTCAGCAAGAACATAGGGTTAGAAAAGATTTTATTAAATTATACTGAAGTCCAGTTTGGGGCCAGAAGTTCGGTTTTTTTTTTTTTTCAGAAATGTTAAAACTTTGCTATTTTCAAAGATTACTTCCTTTTCCTTTCCACTGTTTAATAACCAGAGTTCTTTTTCATATACAGCTTAAAGCTAGTCACCATGAACTCATAAAAGAGGAGCAAAAGGGTTTTCAACCATAAGCTTTTTTTAAAGAGTTATTTTATTTAACTTTATTTATTTATTTTAATTTGACTGGAGAGGGACAGATTGAGGAAGCAAGAGAGAGAGAGAGAGAGAGAGAGAAAGTGAGAAATCAAGCCGTCAGGTCCCAGACTTGAACCGTGGTTGGCCATGTGGGGGTCCAGCACCCTTAACCACCACGCCACCTATTGGCCCCATTTTATTTATTTTTTTGAGAGGTTTTTGCTATAGGGCACGTGCACTCTCCAGAAAGACAGAGACAGAGAGACAGAAAGCGAGAAATCACCCCCCAGGGGAGATGGCTATGCTGCAATCCCTTCTCCTCCATTCTTCTCTCGGGATCTTGGGCACACACGCACACGTGCCTGGTGTGAGTTTAAGTCACCGGGTCCGGAACTCAAATCACGGTCGACTACATGGGAGTCCAGTGACATAGCCATTATGCTAACTGTTGGTCCTGGCCCCATTTTTTATAAGAATTATTTTACTTAACTTTATTTATTTATTTTAATATGACCAGAGAGGAACAGAGTGATAGAGAGAGAGTCCAATCATAAGCTTTTTAAAAAAGAATTATTTTATTTAACTTTATATATTTGTTTATTTTTAAAATTTGACCAGAGAGGGGCGGAAAGAGAGAGAGAAAGCGAGAAAACAAGCCACCAGGTCCAGGACTTAAACCATGGTTGGCCATGTGGGAGTCCAGTGCCTTTTACCATCACGCCACCTGTAGACTTCCCAACCATAAGCTTTGAACACAATATCTTATTGTAGCTTAATGGGAAGATTTAGTAAAATGGCTGAGCAATTTTTTAATTCAAAAGTAGATTTGGAAATGGAATAAGTAAATAAAGATTCTCCAGCCAGTTAATATTTGCTGTGTAAAAATACAATTTTCAACTCCAAGAAAATCCCAAGTTCTCAACTTTATAGCCTTAATGTGAATTCTGTTTCTATCATCAGTACTAAGAATCAAAGAATGTAAGAGCTGAATAGAACTCAGCACAACCTGTCTTAGGATGCTGATGAGAGAGTAGGCCATTGTGGTGAGATGACCTGCCTAAGGAGGAAGGAACATTGAGGGAGAACCTATACCAGGATTCAGAAACTCCTACCCTCAGAACTACCCACTCTCTTTATCATATAATTTTCTTTCTCAGTCTTTTTGAGGATTTCTAGCTCATCTGCTCCTCCTAGGACTTAGAAAAGTTGTTTCTCAGCTATCAACAATTGTGTCTCTCATTCCTGTCACTTTCTTCCTTAATATATTGCTTTCAATAAACTTATGCATAAAGAGTGCATTATATTTATAGCTCCAGAGCTTTTAGAATCATTATTTAAAAAAAAAATCAAGAAAAAGCTACTTCTTGTGTGTGGAATTACCAGATTTAGCAGATAAAAGCACAAGAGCCCCAGTTTAATTTGAATTTCAGATTAACAACAAACATGTTTTAGTATAATTATGTCCCAAATATTGCATGGGACATACTTATATATTTTTTTTTAAAAGTCGTGTTATCTGAAATTCAAATTTAAGCAGACATTCTATATTTCATTTTGTAATCCTACTTGTGTTTCTACATCATTACCATAAGTGAGATATAGGAATAGCATTGGGGATTATTGACGCTTTTCTTCATACTAAAGAGATACTCTCAGCTTGTGGAGAACTGTTGTGTATTAGAGGTATAAAAATTTTCTATGGTTTTCCAGGCCAACATCTTTATTGTTTCAAGTTTCCATTAATGTTTAACAAAGTACCACAAACAACAGTGACTGTGATTTCATTTCTGATTCCATGGATTAGCTGAAGTTGGTCAGCAAGGCCATTTTTTCCTGTTTTCACTTGTAGTTTCCCAAGGAGTTGCAGACAAACAGGCACCATGGCTGAGTTCAGGGCTAGGTTATTGTGACCAAAGTACTTCTTCCTGTTTCTTCTCTTTTTCTTCTTCTCTATTCAAGGCCTCCTCAATGTGTTCTCTCTCTGACAGAGGAGGCTTGATTTCCTTTATGAGGGTTCTCCGTACCAAGACAGAAAAGATGGAATCTGCCAGGCTGTATTAATGTCTGAGCTCCAAAGTCACAGAATACTGTGTCCTTCATATTCTATAGCTCAAAACAGTCACAGGAGCATGTCAATAGGAGCAGCCAGAAGCCCTATCTCTTGCAGAAGTGGCATGTGTCTACAGGAAGGGATGAAACTGTTAGAACCTGTCTTTAGAGACATATATTCTTCAGTGTTGGTGAGGTTAGTTGCTGTGATTCTTTCTCATTATCCTCACTTGCCCTCCTTCTTCTCAGTACTTAATTTTACATCCTGATGTTTATACTTTGGGTGGTAAAAAGATTAGTTAATAAACCAACATAAGTTATCTGCACCCTCTTCTTATTCTTGCAAAGTGTTAAGCGTCTTACATAAACTCTTTCTCATAGGAACAAAAATGCCCTACCCTTAAAACATTTTCTTTGGAAAATGTTTAATTTATATCTCTTGCTCTAGTAAAACATAATCAGAGGCCATCTTACTGTCCATTCAACATTTATCCATTTTCTTAACTATGGCTTTTTCATCAAAGATGCAGAAACATTTTAGCTTTAGTTCAGAGAATGACTGAACTCCCTCCTTGAGGAAAGACAGATTGCTTAGAAGTATCTAAAATGATGTATTTTGTGGCATGAAGAAGGAATATTCTAGAAGATGATATTGTATATGTTTTAATTTCTTCATTTGTGACTTTCTTAGTTGTTTTACTAGAGAGAAAACAAAGTTCTTGATATGGTATTCTAGGTTCTCTGTGATCTGGCCCTGACTTAATCCCACTTTATGTATTTTTAAGTTTATTTGTTTGTTTTCTGAGAGCAAGATAGAGACACGCAGAGAATCAGAGATAGGCACTCCCAACAGGTTCTTCCTGTCATAATCTGCCTCTGACCTCAGCCAGCCAGGATCACAGGCATGTGTGTGTATGTTGGTGTATATAGGGAGACTGAGACACAAAATCAGAACCTTCCCTTGTGCTGTTAGCACCACAGAAAATTGCATTTCTACTGTAGCTGGCCTAATCCTTATCATTCTTTTTCTTCTTCTCCTTCTCTATTTCTATCTTCTTTTGTTTACTGAGTTATTTCTTCCATGAGAGGGAAAGAAACAGAGAGACAGTCACCCCCAACAGAGTCCTTATGCCATGGTTTATCGGTATTTACCAGCTGGATCTGGATCACAGGCATACTCACATAAGCCCAGGATGCTCAGAGAGGTCCCAGGACTTGATCTCAGCCCTTCCTCATATGGGACAAAATGCATTACTACTATGTTGCCACCTGCCTCCAATCCCCATTATTCCCAATGTTCCTTTTTAGTTCCTCCTACCACACCAATATATTAACCCATTCTCAGACTAAAGAATCTACTTAGTATTCACCAAAGTGTCCATCACTTCTCTTTCAAAGAGACTTACATATTTGTATATATGACTTGTTCACTTGGTGCGTTGTTTACTCACTCCCCTTACTCTCCCCACCCAGCCCCTAATCAACTGAGTAAATTCAAGTCTAGTGCAAATGCTACTTCTTCCATCAAACTTCCTACTTCACCAGTTAGAATTAATTTTTTTCTTCCTGAGTCCTTACAGCATGTGTATTTCCATTATAACCATGATCATATTCTGCTTGTATTTTGTTTTTTCTTTTCTAATGGATTTTCTTCCCACTGGATTTTAGGTCCTTATAATGATAGTTATGACAACCTCACTCATTTAGTAAATGCTTTCTAAAGCTTCCTACAAATGTATTCTTTATATTATTGATTTTTATCCTCAAAACAAGAAACAGTGTTATAGTATTATCTCAATCTCTCAAGTGAATTAACTTATAGAATATTACCCAGCTAACTTCTAAAACCACAGTTCAAACCTAGGTTCATTCAATTTTAGTTCATGTCTGTAGCTACCATACCAAGGACTGGGGATAGTGTTCTATTTGCTTTCAGCACCCCTGGTGCCTGATATACTGATTTCACCATAATTTTTGTCTTCCCTATCACTTGTTTTGAATGCTTTATAAAATCTACATTTTCTTATGTTAGCCACTATTCCCTTTATTCATTTGAGAATTACATGCCTATTAGAATTCTCAATATTGAAGGAAGACTTTTAAACACCCTTTACTTCATTAAACAGTAAAATGGGATTAATATAAAACAGGATTTTTGTAAAAACAAACTAACAG